TATCGATATCGATATAGATATAGATATAGAGATAGAGATAGAGATAGAGATAGAGATATATATAGATATATATATAGATATATATATATAGATATATATATATATAGATATATATAGATATATATATATAGATATATATATATATACAGATTCATTTAATACACAGACTTTATACACAGATTTTATACACAGACTCATTTAATAATTCCAGATGTTCAGGCTGGTTTAGTGGATTTAGAGCTAGTTAATTACAAACTCAAGGCTGTGTGCCTTCTCCGACCAGTCGAGTTGCAGTTTACATCCAGATTGTCATCACTTTGAAATTGCCATAATTAGTATATCAATTATGGAGATGGAAGGAAATTCCCTCAATGCGTTGGTGAGACAGAATGGACCGGATGAACAGACGGACACGGCCGTTACAAAAGGGAACTAAAGACCAACACATCTCTTTTACTGAGACGAGTTCCCTCACCTCTTGTCCTCGGAGGAATGTGATCGACCCCTCAGTATGAACCGAATGAAATGCACATAAAGTTGAATAAAAGCACTGGCCAGCAGATGAGGGGATTAGGCATTGGGGTGGATGCGGTGCTTAATGACGAAAACATGTGGCGGCTCACTTTGATCCAAGATAGGTGGACTTAAAAGAGACCAGTTGGAGAGTCTACTGGAGGATAAACGCTCTTTTACTCGTCCATGCAAGGAGCCTCGTATACTTCCTTTACATTTTAAGCCAATGAATATTGATTTTTTTTTAGAGATTAATGCAGTCCTGGATTGGCTATTTATGATGGGACTGGAGCCAGATGGATTTGTGTGGCTGTGATGGTGTCGGGGGTCCAGATATCTGTGTGTGTGTGTGTGCGCGCCCTCCTGCTGGCTTTAATTGGTCTCATTGATCATGCTGTTAAAAAATGCCAATGGACCCTGGCGTTGCTTCCAGTTAATGTCTCCCTCGGCAATCGCGCCACGTGCCAGATGGGAGTCGCCCTCAGCTCCATTTTTCACCCCCCCCGTCCCGCCACAATGCACGGCCTGAGATAATGATGATGTGTGGCCCTGCAGTTGGCCCCTGGGACGCCCATAAATCTTTTGGACTCTGACATAACCCGGGGTGTCCCGTGTTTCCACCCCGTTCTCAGATCAGTTTGAGTCACGTCTGTTTCTTTCTTCGGGCAGCTGCGTCAAATTAAGATCATGACATTAGCCGGCATTAGTGGAGGCTGCAGAGAGACATGAGGACTTTAATATGGTGTTGGGAGACATTTAGGGACTACAATACATGAAAACCGGACATGTTAAGTGCTTCACCGAGAAGCACTGAGATAGCTCTAAATAACATGAAGAGGGACAATTACTTCAACTGCAGCTTGTACAAACCTTTCAGCAATACATCGTTTGTGTCTCCAGTTTTGTTCGATTAAAAGAAAGAAACCTATTTCAAAAAGATGGTGGTAACATTGTTTTATACGTTTAGTATCAGCGGGGGAAATTTGTAACCAAGTATATTTTGTCAAATACAATGTTGACACTTGTAATTGAGTTATTTTGATTTCTGAGTACTTCTTTCACTGCTGCTTAGTATCTCACCTAAGAGACAAAAGACGCGTTTTGATTCTGATGGACTGGTTGTATGTATAGGAGACATGACACCACTGCTGATGAAGTGATAATCACATTTCTTTTTCTTCTCTTCTCTCAATCTCCTTCCAGACCTTCGGAGCCGATGACGTGGTGTGCACACGGATCTACGTACGAGCGTAGCAGAAGTCCACCAGTTCAAATTCCCTCCGACAAAAATAATGTTTCAGCGCCAGAAATTTAAAACAAAATCAAATAATTTGGTTTTTCACCATGAAAAAAAAAAAAATAAATCACAATTTCAGAATACTGTTTTTTTGAACCTCCCTTTTTGAACAGATCTTTTCAAGCATTGGAAATTAAAGATCAGACGATGACGTCTTTGTGTTGCATCGTTGAGTTCATGCTGTCGGTCTTTAGATAGAAGCAGCAGCAGAGTCTGCACACTAAACATCACAGATATCACCTGATGAAGAACGTCCTGGTCAGACTGCAGGCCCCTTTTTAAAGAAAGAAAATAAAAACAGGAAGTGGTCGACTGAGTCTATTTAAAGGATTGTTTAATGCCAAACATCATACTAACACTCATGTACAACATCATAAGTCAAGAGAAGAGACACATTAAAACGAGGTACAAACGATGTCTTTATGTACAATCATCTCCCCGGGGACTTCCTGTGGTATTCCTTATTAAAACACAGTAAATATAAAAATAAAAAGTCATAAACTGTTCCAAGATTGTCTGTAGCTGGTAATGTTTCGTGGAGGATGAAGGTTTAGTCGGGCAGCGCCTCCGTCGTGAACTTTTGGTGCGTTTGCTTCCGTCCTGCTCGTCGAAAAATAATGAGGATCTCACTTTGCTCCTCGCGTTAACATTGAGTCGGTTTCTGACCGCGTGATGTCTTCCCGTCTCCATCTGACATTACCTACAGCATCTACAGGGCCAATTCCAGCTTTATTAAACAAACTGCAGACGACAAAAGGCAATAAAAATGCTTCGTTTACGTCCCTCTGTTTTAAAGGGAATACAACATTCACATTTGTATTTCAGCAAGAAACACAAACCGATAGCTTTGATAAACTGCATCTAAAGGAACTATTATTGCTGTTTTCTTAATCCTTAAACTGTACACAAGTCACATGTCTGACGTTCAAATAGAGACGACCTGTACATAAACAGCAACTCTAAAAATAAGAAATAAACACAACTGGTGTTCAGTGTCTATAGGGTGACACATCGTGAGAACCTGTGGATCAGATTCTGACCATTTGGTAAAGTTTAAATATGGGAAAAAGTACTGTTTAGACTTCAGTACTTTGAAAAACGGACATATACTGTATTTAAAAAAAAATTAAAATAAAAGAAGAGAAATTACGGCTCAGCTACATTCAATCATCTTAAAACCACGAGTGACACTGTCGCCAAAGACGGAAGGTAGAAATGCGCAGAAACACGTAAAAAAACGGACATTTTTCTACTAAACAGAGACTTTAACGACGACACGTTAAACCACAAAGGTCTCCAATTACAAAAAAAAAAAAAAAAAAAAAAAAAAAAAAAGGAGAGACAGTTTTGCATTTTCTCTGCAACCTCTAGCTAAAGACTGGTACTCAATATGTGTGTGTTAATGCACGCTACACATCCATGACATCCGATAAAAAAAAGAAAGGATCTAGATATAAACAGCATATTTACACAGAAGCGTTTGGGCGGTCATAAATTATTGTACACGATATACACTGCTGGCTTTGTACTGCTGCCGAGCGTCTACCCAGCGGTCGCCAGAGAATATATTAGAGTGCCTCGCTGCACCTTTACCACTGAAGAAGAAAAAGCAAACATTCACAGGCTATACAAGTTTACAGGGAAACAAAAACTGAGCAGGTTTGTTTTCATTTCCTGTAAAATGTTGTGGATCTCAAAAGACGCTTTAGTTTTTGTTATGAAATGCTTAACCACTTTTTAATTTGTGTAAACTGTGAATTTCTCCAAAAAGACGGAGTGTTTTCTCTTTATAATCATCTCATGTAAAAAAATCTACATGTAATATAATATTGGGATTTCTGAGACAGGCAGTGACAGCAACGCCTGCAGAACCTCTGTTTACATGAGCTTGAAAGTTCCTGTATTTTGGCATCTGAATCCAGCGACAGCAGGCTGTAGAAGTTCTGCACAAAGCTACATATACATATATATATATATATATATATATGTGTATGAAGTCATCGTCCAGCGGTTTGTTGTGTGGAGAGAGTTGCTGCCAGTTTATCCTTAATTTAAAGAGAGACTACAGAGTTCTGTACTTCACCCGGTACTTGTTGACGTTGATGTAGTGGAGGACCTCCGGGTTGCAGGTGGTGCTGCAGGGCAACAGGCCCTCTCGTCTCTCTCCCATCAGCCACTTGCGGTTGTCGGCGGACATGTCGGCGGTCACGTGCTCTTCGGCCCAGGAGTCCAGCCAGGAGTGGAAGCGTCTGTGCAGCCGTGTGTTGACCCGCTGCTGGGACTGAGATTACAAACGGAACAGAACACAGCTCAGCTACTGGGACACCAGTTCAACGAGTCACTCTGATAGTAGAACATATATATGAATATGAAAGAATATCCTGCTTCTTTGCCTTTAAATAGTTTGAAGGCAAACTGTGTGACAAAATTCACATTTAGGTTTTTATTTTACTAGTTTGTCTGTTCGTGTCTGTGGATTTACCTTTAGATAATGCCTCATTTGCATATTTCAACAACATATTTCAGAAAACTTGTAATACTAATAATACTCCTCTTAACGTGAGTAATGAAGTGGTGACGTTTCATGGTGATATCTATGAGTTCATGTATTCACCTGTAGAGTCTCTAAATGTCTGTAATGGAACTAAACGTCTCTCTAAAGGACGTTTCCTCTAAATGAGTTTGTTCTCAGACTCTGATGATAAATCTCCACTTCAGCAGCTCTTACGTTCACCAAACTTTACTCTTTCATTGCTCTCTGTGTGCTGAAGGTTCACACAGAGGGGTTTGTTCACACAGCATTCAGAAGAGGATTTATACAACATGTTATTAACAGAGAAAATAGATTCATTTTATGTCTGTTGACCGTATTTTCTGATTTATGGAGTGAAACAAAGAGAGATCTAAAATCTTCTCTGTAATAACAAAACCTTCGACTTTAATATTGTCAACAAAATAATACATTTGTTTATATTTTTGTTCTGGAAATGTATGCAAATTAGCACACATTTGATAAGAGAATGCCTCATTTGCATATTTAAACATAACATTTCAGAAAGCTTGTAATCGAAAAACTATTTGTCTACGGCGAGTGTTGGACTTCTACTTCCTGTTCTTACCTGATGAGCCCGTGTGAGCGCCGTGTGCCGGTACATGTAGTCCTCCGACTTGCAGACGTAGACCATCTTGTAGGAGTTGAGCTTGAACATGCACTCCATCTTCAGCTCCCCGCTGGCGTCCTGCGACTTGTCCGAGGGCGCCTTGTTCATCCTCTCCTGCTGCAGCCTCTCCCATCCTCTCTGGCACTTCCTGATCCGTCTCAAGTTCCTGGAGGCCGAATAACAAATCAACAAGCGTGAGTAACGCCGACTGAGCATGCAACAACGACAAAAACATCTTCTGATTACTCCACGCATAAAATAAGTAAATAAAATAAATTTAAAAAAAAGAGCGTTTACAGGGAAAGTTCGCACAAATCTTCTAGAACTTGTTTTTATTTACTCGGCACATATTTGTATTTGACAGCGTGCACAACACACATGACGTTAAGCAAATTTGAAAGCAGTAAAGTCATAATTTGAGAGGACTGTCCCTTTAAACAAGTATTTTTTATTTTTTTTTTAAACCCATGCATTGTATAACTCACCGAGTGACTGAATTAGATTGGGAGTCAAATCATTGGAGGGAAATGTGGATCTATAAGAGCAGCAGAGGCAGCAGTCGTAATATCTCCGTACGGTGCACAGACACACAGCTTCAGATCTAAATATACTCGTTATTGGCACACAATGATTTTATATTTGAATTGGAAATTAATGATTTTTTGTAAATAAATAAAATGCACAGACTCAGCCCACCTGAATGAAAGGTTTAAATGTGTACTTACCACCGAGGGTACAGGTGAGCGGGGACTCACTTTAAAGACGTGACAGTGAGGCCAATTTAAAACTGTTAGAAACAGGGAAACAAATCGCTGCCTGATAGGAAAACCAATCCAAAAATATGATCGGGGAAATACTTTGATGTGCACATACTTTCACCAAACAACGTACAGTGTTATGATCATGAGATGAAGACCCAACACAACTGGAGAAGAAACTGCTGCAGTTTTTTTTTTTTTTTTTTTGCTGCCATTGAAGACTTTTGTAGAAGGAAGTCTTTTGACCTCTTGTGCTGCTGATCTCTCATAGATTTGATGGAAAATAAAAGAAAGGGACAAGATGTGGGTGACCCACTGATAAATCATAAGACCAGATTTATGCAATGGGTTGAAAAAAAAAAAAAAAAGAAGTTAAAGCTTACGAGCAATATTTTAAAGCCTTTTTTTTTTTTTTTTAAGAAATGTTTATGGTAATGGACAGCCATCTCAAAGGAACACAAAATAAAAGCACCAACAGAAGCAATGACAGTTTTTGTGCAACACTCATCGGGAGCTTTTAGGACGCGAGCTCTGAGGTAAAGAAATACGCCAACATGAACATACAATTTAGACAATCATTTTATTTACAAACCCTACTCCTCTGTACAAGTGTTGCAGATAATGTGCTTGACCAGAGTTTTTAAAAACTTACGAGCACTAATTTCTGTCAAAACCGGTGGAAAATAAAACCCCTCACCCACAACAAAAAGTTGCAACGGGAGCGTTTTCCACTGAAAATCATTACAAACATAACACTGAGTATAACAGACTTGAACAAATGGACATTTGAACATTTACAGTCAAATACAGGACCTTTGATCTGGATACAATCACAAAGAAAAGGGCATGATAGGGTAGAAAAGGAAACCACGTCACTGTCCTCTCAGGTCCAACACAACAGCTTCAGTCTCTCAAACTCAGCTCAAAGACATCCAAGAAAAACCAAAACCAAAAGAAAGGAAATAAAAGGTTGAACCCATGTGTTTCGCTTTCAGTTTGTGCATTCAATGACTTTTGTTCTTACGTTACACAATGACAAATGAGCATTTCAATTCAATACAATATGAATAATCAAACCAAATAAATCCTCATAGCTGTCTGAAACCCATGATCAAGCCAAAACCATTTTTAAAAAACCTTTGCTATTAATAAATAAAATTCCCGTTTAAAAAGGAACAGAATCAATGAATAAATAAATTCCATTATTTTATTTGTTTCTCTTTAAAAAGATGGCCGTGTAAAGTGCAATCTTCTGTTTGAGGCAGATGTCAGAAACTGAAAACATTCACAGCCAATGAGATTCTTTACAAACAGGAGGGCGTTCAGGCGTCTTCAAGCTGCAACTCTGGAGTTACTCTGTTGTTTGTTTGTTTTAATGAACCTTCTCAAACCCTCGTCGTTTGTCCGTTCTTATGCCCCAAAAACGGTTGCGGTTAGAAAGAGCTTCCTAAGTCGGGCTTGTGCAGAAGAGCCACTGTTTTCTATCTCTGAAACATGAGTTGTATTTGGCAGCTGGTTTGGCTTGTCAACAGTTGGAGTGGCTGCTCGGCTGACTAGAGCCCGGGGGGGACAGAAAGTATGCAGACAAGAGGGACACATGGCTGGGGGGGGGCCTCACCTGGGGAGGAACACGGGCTTCTGGGACAGATGCTCACGCAGCTCTGGGGACGCAGAATCTGAGTTCAGGTACCGGCCCACGTAGACGGACCACCTCTGTGGAGGACGAGAAAATGTATCAACAGAAGCTCGCAGACAAACCCGTAGACCTCAATATTAGAGGCGTTAGTATAACGGACCATCCGTACACAACAAATATAAATATATTATCCACCGACATGAGCGTATCGCAGAGATATTGGTATATAAATACTGCCAATAAGTTACAGGACACCGACGTACAGGAGCTCCAAAGATCGATGATTAATGCAGTTTAAAAACAGCGATGACATGAAACTAGACGGTAGTATTATGGTCAGGATATATCTCTTTAAAATATATATATAATTTATGGATGACTATCAAAAATGTCTGTGTATGTGATGTATCTATGTAAAAAATATAAAACAGTCAGTATATTGTTATTGGACTTTTTGAACTCGCAAATATTGATATTGAATAATCACGAATTTTTCATCCTGATACTGTTAATATGTTGTCCTGCGGTATAGTTATAGTAATATATATATACACACACACACACACACACACACACACACACACACACACACACACACACACACACACACACACACACACACAGTATATCTGCTTTACTTGCTTCACCCTCTCTGTCCAATGATTTTCAATACAACCACATAATGAGGTGGAGGCTGCACAAGCTGGCACACTTATCTACAGACTGATGAGCACCGTCGTGGGCAAGATTTTCATTATTAAAAATAAAATAATAAAAAGGTGCAATATACAGGATTCAGAGAATGAAATACAGCATCTACCATCTGTAATCTAATAATGTAGTGGAGGAATGTAATAGAAAACCAGATAACACCTAATAAAATGAGGACTTAAAGAGTATGACTTGTACGCAAATAACTAACGAGTCGTACCTCTGCATCCGCCGGCTCATCAGAGTTGTCGTCCTCCGTGTCCAGCAGCTCCATGGCCAGACTGACGGCTCCTCGGCTCTTCACAAACATCAGCTACACAAAACACAACCAGAAGGAGATCGCCTTTAAAACAAAGTGTCCGAAGTGGTTTACACTGACGGAGGATTTCATCACCGCTCTGTGGACTTGTTGTACCTTGAAGCAGTTCTCGTCCGTCATTAGCTGCTCTGCTTTGCGCTGGTAGGCTCCCTCCGCTGTGGCCCTGGACGTCTGCGTGGACAGAGCGCCGCCCGTGGATTTATTGGCTCCTTCGCTCAGGTACATGTCGGTGACACGCGAGCACACGTCGTCAGTGACGAGGTGCTGGAGCTGTGGAGAGCAACAGGTGTGAGCACGCAACAGCTGTTTGAAGAGATGCAACAACTTGAGCTCGTTATGATCAGATCATCAGCACAGAAGTTATTGTTTAGGTTATTATCATTTACTTTTTTGTATTACAAGATTTCTAAAATATTGTGTTTAAAGGAGCAGTGTGTGGGAATCAGTGACATCTAGTGGTGAGGTTGCACATTGCATCAAACTAAATAACCCTTCGCTCACTCCTCCTAAAGTCAAAACGAGAAAGGCTCTCACTAGAACCAGTGGATTGTCCATTCTGGGCTACTGTAGAATACGGCAGAGCAACATGGCGGACTCTGTGGAGAGGACTTGCACCACATAAAGATATAACCGGCTCATTCTAAGCTAATGAAAACACAGCAATACTTAGTTTCCAGTCATCATACACTAATGAAAACACAGTTATGTATATAATGACTATAAATCCCTCTAAATCCCACACACTGTTCCTTTAAATATGCAAATTCAGCATTATCTAATGGTAACGAAAGGTAGTAAAATAAACACCTAAATGTGTATTTCGGATGTTTTCTTTCCACTAATCTGAAAGTTATGTTATGGAAGCAAAATCACACAAAATGTCCAAATTGACCAGTGCATGAAAAGCGATGTTTTGAATTTGAATTAAACTCAACAGTTCAGACGTCTAGACTAATCTTTGTGCTCCATAAATCAAATCCTTGTGGTACGATCCTGAATGTGCTGACCTGCCGGACGATGCTCTGGATGAGTTTGTCCATGGTGAAGGCGATGTAGGCGTGGATGGTAAACATTTCCCTCAGGGAGTCCTCGTAGTGAGTCGGCTCCATGTTTCCGTCCAACAGATTACGCACCATTTCCAGAAACACGGAGTAATAGTCCTCCACATCAACATCCACTGCAGGCAGAAGATAGTTCACGTGATATGGTGAGAAAAGTATGGAACATTGTTGTGTAGTGGACATTAATTCAACCAAACTTTTTTGTCTCACTTACTTGGCTCCTTCATCTTCAATTGGATTGCTGGATTTTCGTTTTTCTCCCTTTTGAGCCCCAGCACTTCTCTTTCCCACTCTCTCTCGCGGGCGTCCTCCTCAATCTGCTTCTCGGCTTGGCCGTAGATGCGCAGCAGGCGAGAGCACAGGATGTGGTGAAGACGGAGGAAGATGTACCAGTAGTTGTTGACGAAGAACATGCTGTAGGCCTCATCGGTGCCCCGCGGCTTCTGAGCTGCCGTGCTGCCGAAGAGGAGCTTGGACTTGGACGGGCTGCTGCCGCCTGGCAGGCCGTTGTGCTTCTTGGGGCCGTCCGGGTCCAACTCCATGTCTTCTTCCTCATCCTCTTCCTCCTCCTCCTCCACATCGGAGAGCTCACCTCGCCGAGCGAACAGCAGGTCGGGGATGAAGTGGTGGATGATCTGTTTGATCTTGTATTTGTCTTCTTTCTGGATGCCCACCTGTCGTTTGACGTGGTGGATGATGAGGGCGGCGGCGTCCTCCAGGATTTGGCTGTCGTCGTAGGTCTGGGTCAGGTGTGGGCCGCTCGGCAGCGGTGTGGCGCTTTCCTCCGCCGCTCGCTCCTGGCGCTGCAGGACACACACACACACACACACACACACACACACACACACACACACACA